GTACTATAGCAATGATGAGTGTTGTTAGATGCGGCTGTCGAAGACAAAGGCAACCAACCATGCAACTTTTTCCGAGTTCTATAAGTATGATTCCTGAGAATAGAAAAATATATGACTTTTCTTTTTGTTTTTAGGCTTCAGAACATCGAATGTGATTCGGATATGTAGTTCTATTACATTCAACATATGTTCGGGTTTCTTATAAGAATTAATAGCTTTCTCAAGGTTCTGAAAGAGAAAAACGTTTTTTTACTGTTTTGGAAAGACTCATATATATATGTCAGATATAGGTTATTTTTGAGATCATATTACTCATCATTGCTCTTATATATCTTAGCTGGTATAATGACTTTTATGAAAAAATAATTTCGTAAATAACTATGAGTTGTTCAACAGAATGGGATTAGGTAGTTTCTTTTTTTCAAATGAAGGGTAGTCATCATATCCAATAGAATTATTTTGAATTACTGAATAATTATCCGGTGGATTATGAGTTAGTTTTTGCCAAGATAGACCACATTCCGTACAAAATCGTGTATATAAATCATTTGATTTAGGTGCAAAACAATGTGCACATCTAGAAAAGAAAAAAAAAAGCTCAAATAATAAAATAATTTTGTTTCGATAAACCTTAAAACATTTGTTTGTATTTGAGAATTGGAATATGTATAATTAGTTGGATTTTCTTGTACTAATGAATCAATTGTTGAACGACGCATTGATTCTATATAGAAATTTGATTAATAATAAATAAAATTACTTTTTTTTTTTTGATACCACCCAGGTCGAATTCACCCTGTCGAATCCGATAGAAATTCGCCGGAATTTGTCGGAATCCTAACCACAGGATTCCGACAAGTGGTTCTGGATGTCGGAAAGTGTCGGAGTTTCAGGGATTTCGCAGGATCCTGATTATTCCGACATCCGGAACCTCCTGTCGGAATCCTGTGGCTAGGACGCCGACAACTTCCGACGAGTTCCCGTCGGATCCGTTAAAATCCGGTAATTTTTCCGATATAATCCGATATAATCCGACGTAATCCGACAGTCGGATCGAATCACCTGGGCAGATAATTTTTGTTGCATTTGTTCATTTTCATTTTGCATCTTTCTCATTAATTCCTATTGAAGTAAAATTATAAAATCAATTAATAAATATTTAACTGAATTAAATATGTAGAAAAAAGTTCGATTGCTTTACTAATTGTATGTTTACAAATTGTTTTTTAGATATATTCTTATCGGCGAAATGAAAAATATTTGCAATAAATTATTTTCGTTAACATCTATCTCTATGTAAAGTTTCAAATAGAAATTTAAAAACTAAAATTGAAGATGTGTCAATGACTTTGATAAGTTTTGAACTTCATAGAAAAAAAAACATTTTAATGAAGTAATATCGATAGACAAGCATTAAATTACTACTATTATATTAGTGATCTTCTAATTGAACTCTTGACATATCGAGACATTCTTGAATATCAATTTTTTTAAATAAAATTAAAGATAAATATTTTTGCAAACTAAAATATATTTATATTGAAAAATTTAATATTTAATTAAACTTTAACATCTTGATTAATCACTTATAATAACACATAAACTTACTCATATATCCAACAGATTATTTTATTTTCGTAATATTTTATGAAAAATTCAATGTATTCAGATATGTTTTCTATAAAAATCGAGTTCATAGTTTCTTTTAATGAAATCTCATCTTTTTCTAAAATATGCTTTTTCAAATTACTTAAATAAATACTAAAAATAATATATCTTTCACTTGATTCAAATTCATTGTACATTTCATATAAAAATAGGTATGATTTCATAATAAAAAAAAAAGTATTCTATACAGTATTTCAATAAACATGAGATAAGTAAATTTCTATTGAATTTATTTATTATCTATCATTTTGAAATTTTTTTACATTTCGTTCTTGTTGTAATTCATATAAATATCGATTTTCATATTCATCCGATAATGAATGATCTGATGGAATAATTTTAACATCAAATATTTTTATTACTATAACACTTTCTCGAATTCCATCACTAAATAAATTTTAATAAAAAAAATAAAAATTCTTCAAACTGATTTTTTTGTTTTCCCAAATATCTTTACTGTGATGCCTGTATTAGCTATATCTCTTGGTATATAAAATGGTTTTTTATATTGTATAGTCGAACATCGTGTTGCTAATGTTATAAATGCATCTGGTTTTGAACCATCTAATGTATAATAAATATCAACATCATTTGTATCACTACGTATTTCAATCAATGTATTTGTATCAATGGAAAATTTTTGTGTATATCCAACACGTAATGGAATTATTGACGGAGCAGATATTGAACCAGCAGTCGTTTTGTTTAACAATTCAAAAAGTAATTAAATTGACATGATGAAACCATATCAAACTTTTTTACATCAAACGGTTGTCTATCATTTTGAAATTTTTCATTACGAAGTTGTACTTCATGTCTTTTATGTTCTGCTTGTTCTCTATAATAATAATAATAATAATAATCAAAATTTCTTTAATCTTGTTCTTTTTTCTTTTGGGATTCTAAATGAAGACTTACAAACGAACTTTTATTATATTTAATTTATCTTTATATTTTGATGTTACATTAAGAACATTTTGTGAAAGATATTCAGATTGAGTATTAATTTCGGACTAGAACAAAAAGCAAATGACAATAAAAAATTATTTTAAACTATATATAAATAATTATGTTGGATTCATCGTCTCAGTCTAGAGGAGTATTATATATAAGATAAAAGAAAAAAAAATAAGTGCAGAAAAATGTTCTTATGGAAATATTTTATCTAAGAAATTTAAAAGTGAATAGAAAAACACGAAGAGAAAAAAAAGGAGAAGCAATAATAAATCATATGTATTAATACCAATTTTTTCCGTAGCTGAACTAGTCGAATCATAGAATAATATGTACGCGATATGTAAGAGAATGAAATTATTATTATTATTATTATTATTATTTTTTGTATTTTTTTTCTTTACCTTTTCTTTTTCTAATTGTTCACAATGACGTGATGTTTCTTCAAGTACAATTTGTACATGTTCTAATTGATGTGTAGCTATACGAATACGTTCACATACATCATCAAATTTTATTTTTAAAGATTTATAATCATTTTCAAATTCATCTGCACGTCGTCGTTCTTTTTCCAAATCAACATTTAAATTTGGCTCAATCTATATTTATTAATAAATATATTAATTAAAACATACAAAATTTTAAACAAAAAAAACAAAATAATTTGTTCTTGACAGAATATAAATCATGGCTATATATATATATACGATAAAATTTTCTCATTATGACATGAATAATAACATACAATTTCCATAATGTGAGTAACATAAATGATACTATGATAAACAATATTGACTAATTAGATAAAAAAAAAACAATTTTACATAACAACAACAGTATTTGATATAACATCTTGTCGATATTTTTTATATTAATAGCTTATGACATTAAATCATGGCAACACGAGCTGATTTACCTTTGATTAGAAAAAAAAAGAACGTGCAATTAACTAATTGTTAGAAAGACGAAAATGGAAACTGAGCACTTTTGAAGAGTTCTAATGGTACTCAAATTTGAGACGTTTTGCTTTAGGAATGTTTTCATTTTTTGTTTATTAAATAATATTAAGTCGGTATTCATTGTAATGAATTGTGAGAATGATTTCACGTATGTCGGCGGCATTCAATATGATGGCGTCTTGCGCCATCGGCACCTTCAGGAGTTTTTTTTCTTTTATTACAATATGGGAACCACTTATGATAAGAACTTTTTAGCAATAACATTTCCAATCGAAATGATTACCTTGACTTCTTTTTTACTTTAAATTTGATAAAAGAAATCTGTTAATGTAATCTTTGAACCGGGACTTAAAACTGGTCCCGTAATGTTTTCTGTTCCAGAACTAGACTACCTATTTCCATATTTATTATTCTGTTCTGACTAATAATCTACAAATAGGCCTTTTTTTATTTATTTATGCCCAGGTCGAGAAGTACGAGTGGGTTTCGGCAGAAAAACACTGGAAGTTATTGGAACAGGGTGGCAGTATTCCGGCCGGACACTTTTCGGATTTTTTCGGTGACTTCCGATCAAACTCCTCCCGTTTTCTTCAGGAAGTTGTCCGAAAAAAATCCGAAACTTTTCCGGCCGGAATACTGCCACCCTGTTTCGGCGACTTTCAGTGTTTTCGTGCAGGATACGGTGAATTTTTCCGCATCTTTCCTACAGAATCCTATGGGATCCAGTGACCGAAATCTTCGACCGGGGATTGTTAATTTCTCAAAATCATCAATATTCATTTTATATATATTCAAAAAATCATACAGATTATAAGAAAAGTCGTTTTTTTTTCTAGAAACAATAAAAAGTTTAAAATTGAAACCAGGACCAAAAAAAGAAAAGATGATCCCACCGATACTTAGTTGTTAATCATCGATTGATTGTTTTATTCGATCTGTTTTAGGATATATTTTTACTTAGTTCCTATACAAATATAATAAGATATTTAAGTATTAAGAAAATTAATAATATTCATAAGTTAATATTTACTTTTTCTTTTTCATGTAATTGTTTTTGTGCATTATTTAATTCATATTTAAGTGTATTTGTATGTTCAATTAATTCATTATAACGTTTACGTAAACATAATAATTTAAATTCAAGTTCAATATTTTTATTCTAATATAAAATATATTTATATAAAGAAATTTATTAAAAGAAATTTATTCATCATACATCAATATTTGATTTTCATTTGTTAATTTCATAAGATTTTGTTTATTAATATCATCTAATCGTTGACTACATGTTAGAATATGTTTATGTAATACATCATATTTTAATTTAAGATTTTCCATATGAAATTTAATTCCTTCATCTGAATTATCAAACTAAAAAATTATGAATATTTTAAATATCAATCCTAAAAAAAGAATGCAATTATACTGTTTGTTCAAATTGAACAGTTTTTTTTCTCTGTAATTTCAAGTTCTTGACGAACAAGATCAATTTCACGTTCAAGTGAACGTTGTTGAATAATAGAAAATAATTTTGTTTGTTCAATATCTGATATATTTTGTGATTTTTCCATCTAATATTATTTAAATTAAATTTTACTTTTTTTTGTTTTTAAATTTTAATAATACATACTAAATATTTTAAAA